GCTTGTTTGTTTTTTTTGTACTGGAAATTGAACTCAGGACCTTGTGCTTGCCAGGCAGGCACTTATGCTGCTAAGCTGTATCTCTAGCCCCCAGAGTATTTTCATAAGGAATTCATTCTATCTGAACTGACCAAGAGACAAGTGCCTGATCCTGTATAATGCCTTAGAATACATTTCAGTAATTTAGAAAGGATTTCTTTTATAAAGAAGTTTATTTTCATTCACTGAATTTTAAAGCAAAAATAGAACCTTGCTGGGTCTAGATATCTGCCTCTGTCATTAACTGTGTATTGCGACCTTAGACTACTTATCCCCAAATCTTTATACCCTTATACAATGAACTTAAATCAGAACTTCTCCCTCTTGACTATAAAAATTATAATACTAACTTAACTGTTCATCTTTTACACTGATATAAGAAACTGGACTATGAAGTATTCAAGTGTAAAACATTAAGGTTTTAGACTAACTTGTAGTGGAGGACTTGACTCAGAAGTGCAATCCTGCCCGTCTATAGATCATGCCCGCTGTCTTTTCCTAGTGCAGTTCAGGCTCAGATTAGACACAGAAGTTGCTCCAACAAGCAACAAGTGCTCTTCACTGGCAGGGAAAGGATAGCCGAGTAATGTCCTTGGCCTTAGTTACCAGCACACTACACAAGGCCAGGACGTTCTCTTGCCAGAGGCTGCTTTACTATCCAGTCTCCCAAAGGGATGGAAAAAACCAAGTGGAAAAGTTTCAGTTTATAGACTAGTAGGATCCACATCCAAATGGCAAAATTTTGTTTAGGTCTCTGTTTCAGGCTCAACTTGTGTCAGCCCATAATAAAGTTCTGAAAGCAATAGCATTCCTTTCCTAGCCATTTACCCTGATTAGACAGAACACCCACATCCAGGGCTTGATGTGTGGGAGAGAAAGACAGACATAGAATGCAAAGGAAAGGAACAGGGTAACTGATTTGTGAGATGGTAGCATTTATTTATCTTTTTTAAATCAAATATTTAGTGAACATCTACTTTATACATACAAGGCACTCTATAAGTATTAGAAAGAACAGGACAGGCACTATCATGGTGACAGGATTTAGAGCCTATGTCTAATCAGTTAAACGGGTGATTTATAGTAGGGAGCAGGGATATAATCTAAAGTACACTGCCAAGAGAAACTTTAAGAGTGTAGTCCATGGGCAGCGACATGGTACAGTGCAAAGTAAAGGGCATGGAACTAAATTAGCCAGGGTTCAAATACCAGCTGTCCTGCATTATGTCAAGTTTAAAAACATGGAAATGCTGATATTTGACTATTATCTACAGTTTTACATAATTGATTTATTTTTTTAATTTTAAGGACAATAAAACCCAACAAAACAGAGTAAAGCCAATTAAAATAAAGCAGTGACAGTGGTACAGAAATTTAAGGCAGAAAAATAGGAAATCAACAGTGGCTACCACAATATATTACAATAGTTACCCGTTCCATCAGACATAGTAAAATCAAATTAAACAATAAAGAATAAAACCAATCAAAACAGAAGACTGAATAAAACAAAACAATAAACTGAAACAAAACAAAACAGTGAGAACAATAATGGATTTCAAAAACAAGACAGAAGGAAATGACCCATATTTACTGTACTGCATACAATTATCCTCCTGGTAAGTGCTCACACCACCAGCCTTAGACCTACAAAGTCAATCAAACAACACAAGCATTTAGCTGTTCTTGTACCTCAGTTGCTATCAACTCATCCTGTCTTTTAAACCAGCGGGTTGCTTGGGGCGGGGCATTGGGGGAGGCAGCAAGGAGATCTGGCTTCTCTTTTCCTGGGCCCCATATGGTTTGCATGGCTTACCAGAAGGGCAAACTGGCTTCTTGTGCTCCTCCCAGACCCAGCATATTCTACAGGTCAATCACTTTAAGTTCCAGTTTCCTTCAGGTGTTAACTTCAGGGACATTGTGAAAACTGAATGAGAAAATGTCTAAATAAAACCACCTGACATATAACAGGTATTCAGTAAATATAGTTTCCCAAAGACAATCAGATGTGTGAGTCACAGGAGAGATAGTGAATTCTGATCCACACTAAGTTTAGGAAACCAGGAAAAAAAGTTTAAAATGAGCTATGTCTGGATTTGAATAGTGCAGGAAGTGGTACATATGTGAGTGTTTATATGGGGTAGGAAATATAAAAGAATTTTGTATCATCTGCTCAGTTTTGCTGCAAAATTAAAAATGTGCTTAAAAGATTTATTTAGAAAATGACAAAGAGGAAAAAATGACGTATGTTGCCTGTTTAGGAGTTTAAGCATACAGATTCTCAGTGTACACACTGCTGTGTTCACACTGACCTCCAGTTCAGCCCTTTTCCGTGTGTAATGAACTAGTCATTCTATATGCTCACTCTGTTGAAATCTTGGTTGAGTCCCAGAGGCCTCAGTTAATCTGACCCAAATGAGTTGGCAAGTTAGAAAACATACACACGAATACCAATGATCTCAGTGGTTTTTTTTTTTCCCCTCCCTAGTACATTCCTTACCAAGATGAATCTCTCTTGCTTGGCTTCAGTCTCTGCTCACAAATAGACCTGGCTGGTCTTAATTTAGCAAAGTGCAGGCTCCCGGCAAAACCCAGGGGTGGGGCTGGAGCCCTTACAATCCACAGGATATCTTCTGCGCAGACAGGAGCCCAACCCCATTGTAGGACTAAGATATATGCTCAGTATGAATTGTTGCATTTCACAGAAACCACATTTTATTTTCTGTGACTTCTTATACATATGTTTTCTAGGGTCACAGTTATAGAACTTATTTGGAGTGTATTTTTCTATAGCTAAATTTTTTAATAGATAAAATGGGTACATAGAAAATCTATGCCTGCTAAATATTTTTGAAATTACCTATGACATCTAGCATGATCTGATATTTATATACAAGTTCAGCTTTCAGTACAGATTGGCCCTTGATTTCATCTGTTCTCCAAGAAGGATAAAAATACTTATAGGTATTCTACAAACTTTTCCTACATTGAAGCTTATATTTAAAATATCAGACTTTAAATTCTAATAACTGGCTAGCCTAACCATGTCTGAAAGCCAGGCTCTATGATTAGGCAACTCTTCTGAACTTAGACCTCTGCCTGGGACTAGGCACAACACTAACCTTATCAACATATAGCTATACCAGCCAGGATGGTAGAGGTGAGCCATATGTGGCTACTAAACCCTATATATGTGACTAGTGCAAATAAAAATGTGCTGTGAGCATTTCAAAGATTATTCACACTAATTTAAAAGTCTTACTATACCAAAAATTATAAATATTTATGAATGATTTTCAATGTTGATTTCATATTGAAATAATATTTTAAATATATTTTTAACATTAATTTCAACATGCTTCCTTTTATTTTTTAGTATAAGCAATGGAGAATTTAAAATTACCTGTGTGGAACACGGATTTAGGAGACTTCTGGGAAAATGGCACAGCAATATATAGTACCAAATCAGCCTCTCCAAGATTTGGAATCCAGACACTGGAATATAAAATCTTGGAGAAGAAAACGAGGGAGGTAGATTTTTAGGATCCAGGAAGTATCTGGAGCCCATAGGGAAAGTGAAAAGATAGACCTCATTGCAAAAAGGGAGGTGAAAAACTGTACTTTCTCTTTGACTCTTAATGCATTGTGTGGAAGAGAAGGTTCAAGTCTATAGAGATACAGTGAGGGCTGCTGACTCCAGAGGCTTCAAGGAGAAATGCACCAGTGGAAAAAAGCAGTGAGCTACAATAGCTGGTGAGTCACCCCAGTCCAAGAATCCCCTGGAAAGGGTGCTTGACCACACACTGTTTTACAGAGGACTCAACTAAACTTGGAATTCAGAGCAGCTGCGGGTTGCCATCATCTCAGGGCTCCCAGTAACTGGATGAGGCACAACCACAGAGGACATCCAAGGTCTGGGAACCAGCAAGAGACACCAACAGTGTTATAGGAAGAATAACTCAACCCCCAACTCCATAATCAGAGACCAGAATCAGCCTGATCATCTGCAGAGTTGAAAGTGCCAGAATTGGCACCCTGTCTTATTCTTAGCATCCTACCCTAATCCTACGGCACACTTTCTAGGATCATTCAGCACAAATCTGGTCTCTGTCTATCTCCTTTGTATACCAGTGATAGCAGGGACATTCCTTGAATTGAACACAATAACAAAACTGTAGACCTCAGAAGATAGCCACAAATTTAAAAATCACAGAGAAATCTTTATTTTCTTGATTTTTTTTTTTGGTTTTTATGAATGTAAACATGGTTTTTAGTTTTGTTTAGTTGTTTTTATTTCTTCCTTTTTTCCCTCTTGTTTTCTTCACCAGTTTCCTAAAGCTTGAGTAATCTTCCTTTGTCTTTGGCCTTGCTTCTAATCGCTCATTATTTATGTCTATTATTTTCCTCTTGTCTCTTCTAAATTTTCCCCTCTCAGAGTAAAATCACTCTACTGAGAGTATATTTACTATTTTTTCTCATTTGCTTTAGAATTTATTATATAAATATAAATTTTGTACTTATAGTTAAAGGGTGCTAGGTCACATAGGCAGAAACTGCTCATCCCTAATAAATTGAAGAGGCAAGATCTTGGGACAGATTCAAAAGCCAGTTAAACCTAGATAATATCTCTGGAAAATAGTTACTTTTTGAGGAAGCCTTGGTAGCAGTAATAAAGCTACCTACCATATGCAATTTACAAGCAGCAATGTAGAAAACAAATTAAAATAAACAGAAAATGATAATGTAGGGAGCTGAGTGACAGCCCCATTGCTGCCTCCCTGCCTCTCTCTCTCCTATGGGCACTGCGTCTGCCTACATTAACCATAATCCTCTCCTGCTTACATCACATACCCGAATGTGACGATGACCCTGTTGTATTCATCCCCATAGCCTCTTCCTGTCCCACGTCCCGCCCTTGGCCTATAAAAGATGTAACCACTTCCGGAATAAACAGGGGGCTTGATCGGATTCTCTCGACTTGCTTCCATCTCTCTTTGTCTCCCCTATGTCTTTATTTAATCCCCATTCCTCCTCCAGGTACACCCCACGGATTGATCCGCAGGCTGGATCAAGTGGCGCCCAGTGTGGGGGCTCCTGGCACGGAGGAGTCAACAAGGGAGCCGCGAGATAGCCAGCTGAAAGTGAAAGCAAATTGAACCAAAGACCATGGTGAGGAGTGAGCAAACTAAATCAAGGATTAAAGCTAAAAGCAAAAGGACATTAAATCAAGTACCGAGGCCTGCACGGACAACTACCCAACGTCCTGCCTGAGTCACAGTGAGTGAACGGCAACCCCATTCCCTTTCCCGGACATGGGTCAAGCATTGAGCGAACATGAATTGTTCGTGGGAGGCCGTATAAAGGCATTAAAGACAAGAGGGTTAAGGGTTAGAACAAAAGAATTATTGCAGTATTTTCAATTTATTCAAAAGGTTTGTCCCTGGTTCCCCCTAGAGCGTTCTATAGATACCAAAAGGTGGAATAGAGTAAGAGATGCTTTAAAAGATTATTATAGGGTTTTTGGTCCAGAAAAGGTTCCAGTGACCACCTTTACATATTGGAATTTAATCTCTGAGCTGCTTGCTCAGAGGCATGCAGATCCTCAGATTGAGGAGATGATCGCACAAGGCCTTATAGTGCCCCTAAGATGGAGCCTGCCTCCGGCAAGCCTTGTGGTGCTCTTAAAATGGCACTTGCCTCACTTCCGCCACATCAGCGTGGGTCCCTCCCTAAAATTGTGTTTCCGGTGATGGAAACAGATGTACCTCCCCAAGATGGCACTGCACAGCCGCAAGATGGCGCGGGTGCTGCACCGCTAGCTCCACGAGTCATTAGGACTCATACACCATTCACAGTGGCAGTTTTAAAAGAATGAAAGACAGCGGTTGCCCAATATGGCCTTACAGCTGCTTTCATTCTTGCTGTTTTAAATTCTCTGGCTGACGGCTGGCTCACACCTACAGATTGGCAAAGATTGGCCTGAGTGACTTTATCAGGTGGGGATAATCTTTTGTAAAGATCAGAATATACAAAACATTGCAAAGAGACTGCCAGGCACAATACACAGGCTGGCAATAGGTGGGACCTTAATATGTTAATAATAAAAGATGCCTATGCATGCAGAAAGGCTCAAAAAGAGTTTAATCCAACACTTTTCGCTCAAATTCAAACAGCAGCTACTCGAGCATGGAGAAAGCTGCCTGCAAAAGATAATATAAGCTCCTCTCTCATTAGCATTAAGCAAGGCCCAGATAAACCCTTTTCAGAGTTTGTTGATTGTTTGATTGCTGCTGCTAGTGGAGTCTTTGGCCGCGCTGATGCAGGCACTGATTTTGTTGAACAGCTGGCTACAATGTCTGCCGGGCCACTATCAGACCTCATAAAAATAAAACAGGTCTAACAAGATATATACACCTTTGCTGTGGCTGCTACCTTGCAGGGGTTTACAGTTAGACAGTTCTTGTCTCAAAAGCATAAACAGGACTGTTTTGCCTGTGGAGAGACTGGTCATTTTACAAAAAAGACTCCAGAGGTAAAAAATCCAATGTCAATTACTTTGACTCATTTAACTAATCAGAGTGATATTGTTCTAATCTCTTAAGTTTAATTTCAACATATGTAAGGATGGGGATAGCTGCTAAAAGGAGAATGAGAGACACTATGGTAGCTATTATTGTCTTCCCCAATGTCAGATCTTAAAAACCTAAGGAGCCTTCATCATTCTGTAATAATTTGATTAGTTCTATAATATGCAGTGTGTATTTAATGTGTGTAAAGATGGGCACAACTGTTTGGAGGAAACTAGAGACAGTTAAGTAAACAGTAAAGATCTCCAGTAGACTTGCTTTGAAATCTGTATTTTTCTAAATTTTTTTTTAAAACGGTTTTGTTCTGTTTTGGTATGTTTGGTCTTGCCCTCTTTGAGATAGAGGACAGGTGTGTGGGACTGATAAGCATGTTGCTAAGTTTTTGTTGGATCATTGAGCAGAACTGTTGGCAGTGTCACTGTTTGGATGTCACTTTACATGCTTTGATTTTGTGGCCTGGGTGACTATTTCTGAGATGACAATATGTAACTTATTAACTGTTGATTTCTTACCATTTATTTTTCTGTAATTCTGTATTAAGATCACTAGTAAACAAGCCAGACAGATAGTAAAAAATTGCCTTTCTTGTGCAGTGCACCTCCCAGTTCCACACTTTGGGGTTAATCCTAGAGGACTTATCCTCAATGCATTATGGCAAATGAATGTCACCCACATTCCTGAGCTTGGCAATCTTAAATATGTTCATGTAACTATAAATATCTTTAGTGGTTTCATTTATACTTCTCCCCAGACTGGCAAAGCTACCAAGCATGTTATTAGCCATATGTTAACTACCTTATCAGTTCTAAGATGCCCACAACAATTAAAGACTGATAATGGTTCAGGCTATGCTAGTTCTGCCTTTGCTCGTTTCTGTCAACATCTTAATATTGATCATATAAAAGGCATACCTTATAATCCTCAAGGTCAAGGCATAGTTAGAAGGGCACATCTCTCCCTTAAATTCACCATAGATAAAATAAAAAGGGAGACATGGTACCCAACCCGGGGGTCCCCTAGAAATCTCCTTTCACATGCTCTTTTTATTTTAAATTTTCTGACTCTGGATGCTCAGGCTGCTCCGCAGCATCTCGATTTTGGCATACTCAAACTCAAACACGGTTTGCATCTGTTTTACGGAGAGACCCTCTAACCAATATGTGGAATGGCCCTGACCCAGTCCTTATCTGGGGACGAGGTTCAGTATGTGTTTACTCTCAACAAGATAGAGAAGCTAGATGGCTACCTGAATGCATCGTAAAACAAGTAGACAGTTCTTCAAAGACCCCATGCAACACACAGGAATAATGTCATTTCCTAAGGCACAATCCCCTGTGTTCTCTTACAAGTGACACAACCCCCTGGAGCCTTATGCTGCCTACTCAGCCTTTTCCTTGAGCCGTACCACACCCATGGTGGATTTAGACCCTTCCCCCTGTGACTGCGGAAGAGGCTCTTCTTGGTCTGGAGGAACATAAACCAGCCAAATAGACTGCGTCCGGTGTTATGCGAGGCAAGCTCCAAGACATAGCAGAACAACTTCAACAGAGACACAACAAAAGGCTGCCAACCCCTTCTCCTTGATATGTGTGTGGTGGGGGGAGCTTTTCCCTTACCTAGCGCCCTGTTTGGGTCCACTAGCTGCCCTATTGCTTCTCCTTTCTGTGAGTCCTTGTATTTTTCAGAGGATTATGATGTTCATTAATAACCAGATAGACGCGTTTATGGCAAAGCCCATTCAGGTACACTATCATCAGCTGGAGATGGCAGATCAACAAACCTACCGGGAAGGAATTCCCATGAGTGGCCCATATGATGATGCAGCCTAACTGCCCTGGGGCAATGGACAGGCAGTGAGAGACGGGCAACTAGGACATGCATGTTAATTCCAACGGCCACCTAAGACAGGCACAGGACCAACTGCTGTTCTGCAAGCCCATGACGGGTAAGGCCTGGTTGGGTTCATGCAATGAGGTCCTTGACCTAAGACAGATGCTGTCTGGCAGGGCCTGCTATACTCCTGATTAAATAATAGAGAAAGGGAGGAGATGTAGGGAGCCGAGCAACAGCCCCATTGCTGCCTCCCTGCCTCTCTCTCTCCTATGGGCACTGCATCTGCCTACATTAACCATAATCCTCTCCTGCTTACATCACATACCCGGACGTGACGATGACCCTGTTGTATTCACCTCTGTAGCCTCTTTCTGTCCCACCTCCCACCCTTGGCCTATAAAAGATGTAATCACTTCCGGAATAAACAGGGGGCTTGATCAGATTCTCTCGACTTGCTTCCATCTCTCTTTGTCTCCCCTATGTCTTTATTTAATCCCTGTTCCGCCTCCAGGTACACCCCACAGATTGATCCGCAGGCCAGATCATGAGAAGACATAGAAAGAGAAAACTACAGACTTTCAGCTTACCCACGGCAAATCTAGTGGGTACTGAAGTAGTCTGGACTTTCCAAAATGGTGGCAATGGGAGTAACAAAGCAGGTAGAAAAAGAAAATCAGAAATAATTTCACGGATAACTAAAGATACAATGACTGTATTGAAGGATATGGTTAATGAATCTAGAATAGGTACAGATTAAGAAAAAAAAAGAGGAGCTTTGGAAAGTGGTGGAGACAATGAATGCCCTACATAAGAAAGAAACAAATTACATGAAACATATTCAAATAAATATCCAAGAAATTAAAAGGTGTGCTGAAAGTATACACAGCAGAATCAACAAATGAGAGGACAGACTATTGGGTCTAGAAGACAGATTTGCAGTTAGTGATTATCAAATGAAATATTTCTTAACTATAGGAAAGGACAACAAAAATCAGTGCAATAGCTACTAGATGATCAAAGAAAAATATCATAAGATTGATCAGAATCAATGAAAAATCAGGAGCCATGCTCAATTCTAATTAGCCATGATCTAAAAACAAAACAAAAACAAAATCTATAAGGCATATAATAGTTAATATTCCAGAAGTTCAGCACAAGACAGAATATTAACAGCTGTTAGAAAAAAGAAACAAATCACATAAAAAAGAAAGCCCATCAGAATCACAGTAAAAGGGATTGGGGATATAGTTCAGTAGCATGATGCTAGCCTGGCAAGCATGAAGTCCTGAGTTTAATTCCTGTACACAAAAAAATTCACAGTAGACTTCTCAACCCAAACTCTTAGGCCAAAGTGAGTTTCGAGTGAAGTATTTCAAGCTTTAAAAGAAAACTCAGATTGATCTACTCTGAAAAAGTATCTTTCAAAATTAATGGAGAAATAAGATATTTCCATGATAAACAACACCCAAAGATTCCAACAAAATGAAACTGACAGGCAATGTAAGCCATTAAATGGAGGGAAAAGAAAGGAAACCAACAATACAGACAAAGTAGATTTCAAGCCAAGACTGGCTGGAAAAGACAAGAAGGCCCTATATATTTGTTAAGGAAACAATCCAACAGAAAGAGATAGCAATCATATATATATATATATATATATATATATATATATACATATACATATACATATATATATCATATACGTATATGTATGTATACATATAGTGTGTGTGTGTGTGTGTGTGTATAATGCCAGCATAGCCATCTGTATAAAAGAAACATTAATGGACATGAAAAATCAAATAAACACTAATACTAATGGGGAACCTCAAGAGCCCACACTCACAAACAGATCAACTAGACAAAAAAATAAATCAACAAAGAACAAAGAAATATCAGAGCTGAACCAATCCTCTGAACAAATGGACTGAGTAGATATCTACAATGTTCCACCATGTAACAATAGGATACACATTCTTCTCAACTGCACATGGGACTTTCTCCAAAACAGACCACATACTAACTCATAGAACATGTTTAAATAAATGCAAAAGAGTTGAAGGTATCCCATGTACACCTGCTCATACAACCATGGGTGACAGACGAATTAAAGAAGAAATTAAATGGTTTCTATAATTAAACTATAATGCCAGTACAACATACCAGAATTTATGGTATGTAAGGAAAACAGTCCTTTTGGGAAATTTATAGTTATGAAGTCTCATATCAGAAAAACAGCAAGCTCAAATAACCTAATATTTAACCTCAAACTTATAGAAAAGAAGAGCAGGTTAAACTCAAAGTATATAAGAGGGATGAAATTATAAAGATCAGAGCAGAGTTCGATGCAATCGAGTCTAAGAAAACAATACAAAGAATCAATGAGTGGAAGAGTTGGTTCTTTTAAACATTAAATAAAATAGACAAAAACTTAGCCAATCTTATCAAAAAAAAGAAGGAAAGAACTCAAATTCATGCAATCAGGAATGAGAAGGGTGAAATCACAACAGATCCTGCAGAAATTCAGAAAATCAACAATACCTACTTTGAGAAACAGTGCTCTGATAAGACAGGAAAAACACGCACACACAAAAAATGAGCAGACTCCTAGATTCATGTGAATTACAAAAATTGAATCAAGAAGAGATGAAAATTCTAAATAAATCAATATCAGTCAATGAAATTGAAAAAGGAATTTAAAAACAACCAACAAAAATAATCCATGTCCTCATGAATATGCTCCTATATTCTATAAGAAATTCAGAGAAGATCAAATGCCAGTACTCCTCAAACTCTTTAAGGAAATTGAAATGAAAGCAATATTCCCAAATTTATCCCAGGAAGAAACCATTACTCTGATACTAAAACCAAGGGAAGATCCAACCTAAAACAACAACTATAGGCCAGTATCTCTATTGTACACGGATGCAAAAATTTTCAATAAGATACTGGCAACAAGTAAGCAGTAAATTATAAAGATTATCCAGCATGACCACGTAGGGTTTATCTCAGGGATACAGGGATAGTTCAGTGCACACAAATCAATAAATGTGATGCGTCACAAGGGCCCAAGGACAAAAGCCATATGATTACCTCAACAGACACAGAAAAAGCATTTGACAAAGTTCAACACCCATTCATGGTAATAACCATACATAAAATTAGGAAAGCAAGTCTTCATTTTAATCTAATAAAAGCCGTCTATGACAAATCAGCAGCCAAGGTCATACTAAATGGACAAAAACTGAAAAATTTCACTCTAAAATCAGGAACAATACAATAATAACTATTGTCACCACTCCTACTCAATATAGTTCTGGAAACATCAGTCAGAGCATTTATACAAGAAAAAGAAATAAAAGGACTAGGATAGGAAAGGAAGAAGTTAATTTATCATTATTTTCAGATGACGTGATCCTTTACAGAGAAGACTCAAAAAGACTCCACCAAAAGACTCCTAGATTTAATAACCAAATTCAGTAGCATAACTGGATACAAAGTAAACAGTGAAAAATCAATAGCATTCCTGTACATAAATAATAAGGTGTACAGGTGAAAAGAACAAAATTAGGTAAACAACACCTTTCACAATAGCAACAAGAAAAGTGGAATGCTTAGAAATTAATCTAGTGACAGAAGTAAAAAGCCTTCACATTGAAAACACAGTACTCTGAAAATGAGATTGAAGAGGGTATCAGAAAATGGCAAGATATCTCTTGTTCTTGGATTGGCAGAACCAATACAGTGAAAATGGCCATACTTTCAAAACTCATACACAAATGTAATGCAATGCTGATCAAAATACTAACATACCTCACAGAACTAGAGAAAGTAATCCTAAAATTCATTTGGAGACAGAAGAAACTTAGAATAGCAAAAGGAATTCTGGACAACAAAGGCAAAGCAGGAAGCATTACAATCCCCCACTTGAAAGTGTGCTATAAAGCCACTGTAATAAGAGCAGCATGGTCCCGGCAAATCAAAAAACAACAAAAAAGAGACTCAAAGATCAATGAAATGTAATAAAAGACACAGAACCAACACCAAAGACACTCAGTCCCCTTCTTTTGACAAAGGGTCAAAGCATTTACACTGGAGGAAAGATAGCTTCTGTAATAATGATGCTGGGAAAACCGGTTTTCCACATGCTGAAGGTTAATCTAGACCCATATGTTGCATCATGCACTAAACTCAGATCTACCATTCATTTTGTTTCTTATTTAACCTTTCGGTTTCTCCCCTCTTAAAAAGAACACTTGGAAAGTCTCCCCCTTCCTCCTCCATCAATATTTTACTTTTCTGAAATGTTATATTGATGTTTGAACATGTTGTTATTCATCTGTCCTTTTAAACATCCTCTGTGGATCTCATACGCCTATCAGTTACCTCTTCTTTGAAACAAAGCTCTTCAATGTAATCATTCATATTCATATACTCCAATTCCTCTTTCCTTTTAGTCTTAAGCCCATTATAATCAGTGTTTTACCTCTACTACTCCAGCAAAGATGATTTATAGCATTCACAATGCTAAATTCTAAGGTTACTTCTTAGTCATCACATCGCTCAAGCTCTCAGCAGCATTATTTCAAATGGGAATTTCACCCCTGTTTTGGAGTTTGTTTTATTCATTTGGCTTCCAGAACTCCATATTCTCTTGGTTTTTCTCCCATTTTACCACTTTGTACAATCTCTGCCTCCTTTGCTGATTCTTCCTCTCTTCTCCAAACCGTTAATGTTAAACTGATCCATGGCTCAATCCTGTGACGGTGAACCTTTAAAAGTTTCAGTGATACAAACAGCTCACTGCGGTACATGTGCCATAGGTTCACAACCACGGGTAGTCTTTGGTCCTGCATAATCCTAATTCCACTGGTGATTCGATGTAGCTTTGAGACTTGAAATATTTCCTGTATGTTGATGATGTTCAAATTTATATTTCCAGCCCTTTCCTTCTCCCAGAACTTCTGACACATACTAAACTGCTTACCTGGTTTTTGCACATGATATGTAAGAAATGCGAACATAAAATATGCAAAAGTCAACTTCTCTTTCACAGTCAAACCTACTCCATCCATACCCTTGTTTATCTCAATTATGACAATTCTATCCTTCATATGCTTCGGCTAAAAGCCCTGGAATCTTCTTGATTCCTTTCTTCCTCTCATTCCACATCTAGTCCATCAGAAAATCCTACTAGATTTGCTACCATCAACACTTCTCCCTGTGTTAATCACTATTCCCTAGTCTGATCACCATCATCTTTTACAAGAATTACTGCAGTGGCTCTCTAATACACCTCCCACTTCTATCCTGGCTTTTCTACCAGCTGTTTACAATACCAAAACTAGATCTTATATTTTCAAAAGTCAGAAAGGACTTCTCATTTGTCAGATAAAGCGTCTGCCCAAAACCTTTCAACGGCTTTGTGAAACTGTAACAAAA